ATAGTTCCTGTGCAATCAGGGTTTTGTTCAAAAAGTCTTAGCCTGCATCAATGTCTTCAAGAGCTTTACCTACTCCATCTTCCAGCAGATTTAATGTTTCTGTTTTAATACTAAGATCTTTGATCCATTCCTATTTCATCTTAGTACATGGTGAAAGATACGGGTTCATTTTGTATCTTCAGCACATGTAGAGCCAGTTTTTCCAGCACTATTCATTAAAGAGGCTATCTTTTTCCAGTGAATGTATTTGGTACTTTTCTCAAAGATAAAGTGGCTTAGTGTGTCTGCAGTTGATTCCTGCATCTTCTAATCTGTTCCATTGATCTTCAAGTCTGGGGTTTTTTTTTGTTGTTTTGGTTTTTTTTGCCAGTACCACACTGTGGAAATCAGTGTGGAGATTCCTAAAAAACCTAGGACTAGAAGTTCCATTTGACTCAGCTCTTCCCCATCTTGGTATCTTCTCAAATGAATTAAAAAGCATTATATCATAGTGATGTATGGGAACCCATGTTTATAGCAGTACACTTTGTAATAGCCAAATCTTGGAAACAGCCCAAGTGTACATAAACTGATCAGTGGATAAGGAAGATGTTTTTGTTATACTAAGATGCTAAAAATTAAAATAATTGATTAAAAGATAATTAACAAAAATAGTTACTTAAAAAGATAGTTATTAGGAATATTGTCATTCTGTACTGAGCTCATTACCCTAGTAACCAAGCACCAACCACATAGTTATAAATTAACTGACTGCGTCGTTCTGCTGTTCTGTAATGCGTCATCCCCCCCACCTTACTGACCTGTGTGCTATGTCAACTTTTGTTCCCCTTGTAAGAGACAAATGATGCTGTGTCAACCATTGTTCCTTTTATGAGAGACAAATGTTCCTGGAATTGGCAGACCAAGGGCTATGAATTGGCTAACCACCCACTGTGAAATGCCTCTTACCTCAAGCAAAGGGGAACAAAGGCCCACCTTATTTCTGTTTCTCATCACTATGTACTTAATGATCAATGAGCTAATCACAAATGAACTATAAAAATCAGTCAAAACTCTAACTCAGTTGAACAGCTTTGCAAATTCCATCTGCACTGTGTCGCTGGGCCAGCTAAAATAAAAGCGCTTCTTTTAAAAAGATGTCTTGCCCCGTTTGTCATCTTGGGGTCTTGACCCGTTTTTCACCATGGGGCCTTGTTTTTTGAGTAGAGTACAACAGTTTTGTTTTGTTTAATGTATGTAATTCAGTACTACTCTGCCATAAAGAGGGATAAGCTTGAGCCATTTCTGGCTAAATGCACTTTGAGACCATACTCAAGTGATATAAAATCAGGTACATATGTTCAAATATTGCATTGTTCCCCAATTGATGTACTAAAATTTTGTTGTAGTTTTTTTCTTTCTTTTTATGTTTGAAAAAAGGACTTGAAAAAATAAAATTAAATTTAAAAAAAAAACAAATATTGCATTGTTTTTCTGGTATAAAAAACCAGAAGTGTGAGCTGGGTGTGGTGGCTCTCCTGTAATCCCAGCGCTCGGGAAGCTGAGGCAGGAGGATCATTGTGAGTTTGAGACCAGCCTGGGCTACAAAGTGAACTCAAGGCCAGCCTGAACTGCATAGTGAGACCCTGTCTAAAAAAAAAGTGTAAACAAGGACTATTGTAGTCAGGATATTCAAGGAAAACAATTTAATACGGGATACAAAATTTATAGTATTATTTTATAACTGTCACCCAAGGAGTCAAACATGAAAAGTGCAGAAATCTGTTTACACACTAATGACCCCAAAAATTCCAGCTGAGGGTCCAGATCCCAAGGCAATGTCTTGCGTTAGTCCAACTGAAGATCTAGAGCCCATGACAATGTTTCTTACAAATCTGTTTCGTAAATCTGCTCTGGGAAAGCCCAAAGAAAAGTCAGAGGTAGAAGCTAGAAAGTCTGTGCCAGCAGGATGAAGGATCTGTGCCAGTAGGTTGAGAGTTCTGTATTGGAGCCAGGAAGTGACACTCGAAGTAAGGACTACAGCTTCCCAAAAAAATACCACAGCCATCCTCGGTGACAGTGAGGTCCTGAGCTCTTCCAACAATGAGAACAGCTGAGTTCATATCAGGGAGCCAGCATGACAAGCTTCTCCTGGAGACTGAACAGTACACATGTTCCCCTCTGGAGCCAGGAAGCAGTAGAGAGAGTAAAGACCAGAGCTCCCCCAAAGGGAACCACAGCCATTCTTAGTAACAAGGTTTTGAGCTCCTCTGACAATGAGAACAGCTGAGTTCATATTAGGAATGAAGCTCGACAAGTTCCTCAAGGAGAACCCACAACACTACACAGGAGAACCAGCAACACTACACAGCCACAACACCACAGAGAACCAACAACACTACCCCTTCCTCTCCAGTTCTCTTTTTTTATCTTGGCAACAGTTCTCAGGTGCACTGTAAATTTGACATAGCTATGAATGTAGGCCATGTTTGGAAATATCTACAAAAGCTATAATATGATTTGAAAGTCTTTGTATTCTCTTAGGGACACCATCTCGGCCCCAGGTAATACTGTTATGGTTTGTTGCTTATTATCATCATCAAAGAAATGATAAAATTCAGATAGAATTTAGTGGGGGGGAAAAAACCAATCCTCCGGTGAGCCATCCACACAAGCACCACACTAACTCAGTTCAACTGGTATTACAAGTTGATCACTTGTTATCAACCCACCATGAGGACCAAAATGCATAATAGATCTTGAGAAATGGAAAGAAAATATTCAAATGAGGAGTAAAACAAGGGAGGGGGAGGCAGAAAGGAAAAAAGGAACAAGAAAAAAACAATAGGAGGGAAAAATGGAAATAAAGCTTTTGTAAGTAAAGAGGAGGTCAAAGGGAGGGGAAGGAAATGGGTAAAAAAGAAGCAGAAAGTTATATCATGTACAGGTACAAATTCCATATGATGAAATCTTATCATTACGGATATCTAAAATGTATCAGTAGAGGCAGGGGATATAACTCAGTGGCTCAGCACCTGGCTGGCAAGTGAGAGATCTTGAGTTCGATCCTTGGTACCAAATAAATAAATAAATAAAATGTACCAGTAAAAAAAAGTTAACACCAATGACACAAAAGAACTACCATCTTAAACCATATTGGGGCAGACAACTGTAATCCTAGCCTTTGGGAGATTGAGGCAAGATTATGAGTTTGAGGGCACCCTATGCAATTTAGCAATACCCTGTCTCAAAAAACAGCTTGAAGGGCCAGGGATACAGCTCAGTGGCATAAGTGCCTGCCTGGAAATTGCAAGGTCCTGAGTTCGATTCCCAGTCCCCCCCCATCCAAAAAACAAAAACAAAAAACAACCTGAAGCTAAGCATGATGGCGCTGGCTTGTAATCCCAACACTTGGGGAGCTGAGACAGGAGAATTACTGTGAGTTGAAGACCAGTCTGGACTACATATCCACACACACCCCCTCCCCGAAAAAGATAGAGGAAAAACCTACCATCTGGAAGTTTAGAGGATGCCTCTTCCATTGTTCTATGACAAACTATACAATAGTGCTTCTGATCAAGGAACTCTTTCCAGCAAATCAAGAGCAGCAACAGGCTTGCGCTCAAGGAGTTCAGTAGCCTTACACATGTCTCCACCATCCTGAAGCAGTTGGCCAGACAGAACTGTGTGATGGCCTTTGAGAGAAGCAGTTCCAATCGTGGCTGGGTATCCAGCAAAACTGAGACAAGGTCTTGCAAAAGGCCACAAATGCTCTGAGTCAGTGTCCAACATATAGTGCCGTGTTTTGTTTTGTTTTGTTTTAGTTTTGGTACCGGGGATCGAACTCACAACCTCACACTTGCTAGGCAGGCGTTTATGCCGCTGAGTTAAATCCCCAGCCCCTCTAGTGCCATTTTTGCCTTACCCACATTCACAGGTCCAGGTGGGGCTCAGCGGCAGAGTACTTCCTGACAGCCTCAGGGCAGGTGGCCCCCAGCAATGCACAAAGGCTGAGTGCGCGGTGGAAACAAGGAATGGAAAAGCAAGCCATTACTCGTAGGCATTCCCTAGCACAGTTCCTGCTTCCTGCTCCTGCTCCTGTAGGTTCTGCTGAGGGAATGCTGCCACCAGAGATGGGACAGTGATTTGACTACATTGGCAGTTAAAACTGACACCCAGTCACGTGGGCCTCTCACACCTCTGAATCCAGCAAGCAAGGAAGAGAGTTAATAGTGCTGGTCAGGGCCACCAAGCCTGATTTCCAAGGGCATTTGGACTGTAGAGCCACAGACAGCAGCCCAGGAGACTCCTTGGGTTTCTCTTAACATTCCCATGCCATCACCAAGATCAATGGAAAACCATAACACTGGGAGGCTGGGACAGGAGGATTAAAAATTTGAGCCCAGCCTTGGCAATTTCATAATTTATCAATACCCTGTCTTAAAATTTTAAAATGAAATAAAAAGGGCTGGGGATGTATCTCAGTGTTAAGGGTCTGTGTCCAAGTCCCCAGTAACACACACACACACAGAGTGCCCCAATCAGGCAGGACCACCAATGACTCAGGCCCTTAAGGAAAGAAAGCTCAAACTGCCCAGTAGATAAAGAGCCCAGAGCAGAGAGACCTCTGAAGGCAAAAAGAATACAGCATGGAGCCAGGGATTTAGCGATTTAGCTCAGTGGCTCACGCTGTTTACTGGTAAGCATGAGGTTGTCATTTCGATCCCCAGTACTAAGAAAAAAAAAAGGAATACAGTATGGGCTGCAAGAGAAGGTAGTTTCCGTACCAGCTACAACTCCAAGGCGGTTAATAGAACCAAAGATTGTCATTTCATGAATATTTGTTTTGTTTTAGACAGGGCCTTACTATGTAGTCCAGGCTGGCCTCAGACTCATGGCACTCCTTCTACCTCAGCCTCCTGAGTAGGGATCACAGGTGTGTGCCACCACACCTTGCTACAAATATTTCCTCTTTATTTTTCTTTGTATATGTCTGTGTATATATAACAAATAGCTTTGGTTTTTTTCTGTCTTTATTGTGTAACATAAAGTATGTTGACTTTATATCAGTATTTAAGTACTGTGAATTTTACATTCACAATAATGGGTTTACAATAAGCAGAATGGATTTTTACATTTACATTCACAATACATTACATCACATTTACATTCACAACACATTACATTACATATACACTTACATTAATGGGTTAACAATAAGCAGAATAATGGGGTTTTTATCATCTTAATTTGGAGATTAAATATGGTTTAATGAGATACATATGACTGTGCAGTTGACAAAGGGTGGACGTGATGTTAATGTTACTCATTAGCTTGAGTGGGATGCATAGTGCCCTGACTAACATCATTTCTGGAAGTGTTTAAGACTTTCTCTAGATGAGCTTGGCACTTGAACTGGTGGGCTTAGAGGGATGCTGATTACTTTCCCTATGTGACTGCACATTACGTACCCATCAAGGGTCTGCACAGAATGGAAGGGCACAGATAAAGGGGTTCACTCTGCCTGCCCAACAGCTTGCATTGGGATGCATCTTCGGTCCTCCACCAGGACTTATATCCTCACCCTCTGCTTCTCAGGACTACACCACCAGCTCTCCCAGGTCTCTATATTTCAGGTAGCAGACTGTGAGCCTTCTCAGCTTTCATAATTCCTTATAAGGCCAGGTGTAATAGCATACACCTGTAATCTTAGTACTCAGGAGGCTGACAAAGGAAGATCGCTAGAGTTCAGTGCCAGTCTGGGCTACACAGAGACAGCCTGTCCCAAACAAATAAACGTAATTCATTATACTAAATCATGTAGTGTTTCTGTTTCTCTGGAGAGCCTTAATGAATACCCTAGCCATTCCACCTCCATCTCCAACATCCACACAAGTGCACCGAGGTGTGTGCACAAGGCTGGTAGGGGCAAATGATGGCAAAACCTTGTAAAAGGCCAAAAATCTTTGCAATCTGAATAAAAACATGCTCAGGGAAACCTTAGAAATGTCCACTTATAGCCAATAACTTCTGAAGAAGGAAATGAATGAGGGTTAACGTCCTACCATGGAGTGCCTACTGTATGTGCTACAGAATAAAAAGGACCTGTGTTGCCAGATGTGATGGTGCACATCTGTAATTCCAGCACTCAGGAGGCTGAGGCAGAATGGCCATTCCTTCCTTCCTTTCTTGGTACTGGGGTTGAACCCAGGGCCTCATGCGTTTTTATATTTGTTTGTTTTTTGAGATATAGTTTTGCTATGTAGTGCAGGCTGGCCTTGAACTCAAGGTGATCCTGCTCAACCTCTCGAGTGCTGAGATCACCGGCCTGTGCCACCATGTCTGGTGCCTCATGTATTTTAGTCAAGCACTACTGAGCTACATCCTCACCCCTTCTAAAGTTTTTTTGTTTGTTTGTTTGTTTTGTTTTGTTTTGTTTTGAAACAGGGTCTTGCTAAGTCACTAAACTGTCCAGGCTGGGTTTGAGTTTGTGGTCTTCCTGGCTCAAGATTACTGGTGTGTGCCATCATGCCCAGCTTCTTTTAAATTTTATTTTGAGACGGGGTCGAAGTTGCCCAGCTGGTTTGAATTTGTGCTCCTCCTGCCTAAACTTCCTGAGTAGCTGGGATTACAGGCCCGCATTTCCAGTCTCATACCCTTAACAACAGCCACAGCCCAAAACGTTTGGGTTGAGAATGGGTGGCAACCGCGGTGGGACCAGGAGGAAAATCTCACTCTTTTGTCCTCGGGAACCACACAGGTAACCTGAAAGACAGAAAGCAGGGCAGAGCTCAGCGTGAGGTCAACAGGAACAGAACGTTCCCAGAGTCCTTAGGAACAGAAGCGGAGGGTAGACAGGGACAGAGCAACCCTAACCTTACTCCTTCAGAGAACTCCGAAGTCTCACCTTGGGGCGCTGAACTCGCCTTTCGGCCCAGAACTTTTTGTTTGATTCAGAGGCGCTGGGATGGAACCAAGGCTCGCGCCTACGGGCAGTAGCCCTCAAGGAGCCACACCCCAAACCCCCTCAGGCCCAGGGTTTAGGTCAGAGTCCTTGGCTTTGCACCACCTACCTCTGCCGGTCCCGCCCACCCTCTCCTGCCCCTTGACCTGCGGGAGCACAGCCTCAGTCGGCTCCAGCACCAGGACATCCACCGTGTCATGCTGCGCCCGCTGCTCGCCAGGCTGTGGAGCATGACTGCGGGGACTCAGGTGAACGCGGCGGGAGCTTGCAGTGGCTGTGGCTTCCCCCTCCCTTAACTCCCTGCTCTGCGGCTCCTGGCTTTACTGCCTTCCATATCTCCGTCCTCCACTGTCTTTCAAAGACAAGCAGAGGGCAGCAGAAGCTCACGGAAAGGCCGCACGTAGGCAGTCGCGAGCCCTGTACAGGGTCCGTGTGCGGGGCTAGGCGTGGCTGCTCCCCCTGGAGCCTAGTGGGGATAGGTCGGAGGGGCACGGGGGGGGGACAGGTGGAGGGAGTACAAGGGGCCCCGCGAAGGATGTCACCGAGGCTGGCTCGTGGTCCCTGTGCGGAGGGCGAGAGAACAACGCAGTGACCTTGAGGTCCGGGACCCCTGGTAGTTTGAAGAGACCTTGAAGAGGACTACTATGGGTGTACCCCTGTGGAAGGGAGGGCGGTGTATTCTGGACTTTCCACCTATTACAGGGCAGCTGTGAGGCGTAAGGCTTCTTTTCGGGGGGTGGGGTGGGGGTGTTTGTCCAGGGCCTTAACACTGAGCTACAAGCTCAGACCTTTTGCATTTTCTCATTTCTACACGGGGTTTGGCTAAGTAGCTAAACGTACCAGACTAGGCTCGAATTGATAATCTCCTGCCTCAGCCTCCAGAATGTTGGGATTATAGGCGTACACCATCATGCCTGGCCTGGTATAATTACAGTTTTGTCATTTTTTGTTTGTTTATTCATTTGTTCTCTCTCTTTCGTTTTTGGTACTGGGGATTGAACCCAGGACCTGACAGATACTTAAGTGCTGTCCCTCTGAGCAACACCCTCAGCAATCATTTTTTCCTTCTTTTTCAGTTTTTTTTTTTTTTTTTTTTTGTCTTTTTGAGACAGGGTCTCCCTATGCTGTGGTTCAGGCTGGCCTTGGGCTCACTTTGTAGCCCAGGCTGTTCTCAAACTTACAAGAATCCTCCTACCTCAGCCTCCCAAGTGCTAGGATTACAGGGGTGCTCCACCATGCCTGGCTTCTTTTTTTGTTTTCTGAGACAGGGCCTCACCATGGAACCCAGGGTGACCTTAAATTCATTATGTAGTCCAGACTGAAGGCAATCCTGCCTCAGCCTTCCAAGTGCTGGAATTACAGGTATGTGTCACCATGCCAGCTTTTTTGTGTGTATGTGATAGGATTTGGTTATGCTGTGCAGGCTGCTTTGAACTTGCGGTGATCCTCCTGCCTCGGCCTCCTGAGTGCTGGGATTATAAGGCATGCACCACCACTCCCTTTTTATCTTAAAGCAGACTAGTAGCCCCATCTCTGAGCCTGCCATGATCTGACCCAGCCTCTTGTTCCCACTCAGCCCTCAGGCACCCTGGGGCTGTAAACCATACTGCCTCTTCTTCTTTTTTTTTTTTTAGACATTGTCTTGCCATGTAGCCCAGGCTGGCCTCGAACTCAAGTAGCTACATACCCCTAGCTACACTGGCCTCATCCTGGTGGATAAAAATCTATCTTGGAATTTCCAAGGATTAAGTTCCAAGTCTGCCACACAGGATGTAGGGAGTGAATCTAAGCTGGCAGACCCTGGGTTATAGGAGGAGCAGGCAGAGTTTGTTCCCACATACCAGCAAAATCGGGGTGTGCGCACCTAAAGCAGTGCTTCAGGGAACCACATTGCTCCAAATCCGTAGATTTGAGGAGTAGAAAATTTGAAAATCTGTGATATGATCTCCTGTACCAGGAAGTTGCAAAAAGAACAACCAATTGAACTCTAGAAAGTAAAAGGAAGGGAAGTATAAAGAGCAGCTAGGAGCCTGAACTACATAGCAAGACTCTGCCTCGAAAAACAAAACAAAACAGAACAGCCAGGTATAGTGGTGCATGCCTATATTCCCAGCACTTGGGAGGCTGAGGCAGGAGGATCACCAGCCTGTGTCATCTTGAGGTCAAGGCCAGTCTGAACTGCATACAGAGAGACCATGTCTCAAAAGAAAACAAAACTAGTCAGGTATGGGGGTGAACACCTGTAATCCCCAGGCTCAGGAGACGGATGCAAGAGGAAGAGCAAAAATTGGTAAAATAGACAGTAAATATATATATATATATATATATATATATATATATATATATATCAGAGAAAAGTCAGTGTTGAAGGCTATTTTTTGTTTTTCTGTACCCAGGGTCTTTGCACTGAGTTACATCCCAGTCTTTTTTTGAGACAAAGTTTTACTGGGTATCCCAGAGTGACATTAAACTCACAGTGATTTTCTTGCCTCAGTCTTCTGAGTCCTGGGATTAGGGGCATGCACTACCATGCCTGGTTTATGGAGATTTTCTTGCAGCACTTTCTCCTGGAACTGAGCGAAAGAAAGAAACAGAAATTGGAGAGGGGGTGGAAAAGGAAAAACAAATGTGTCCAGTGGCAAAATGCTTTCTCCTAACTTTTTTTTTTTACATTTTAGTCATGGAGAAACAGCAGTCAGACCCTGTCCCCGTCCCCGTGCCTTATCCAGAGACTTGACCACATCGTTATGACAGTAAAGAGCATCAAAGACACCACCATGTTTTACTCCAATGTCCTGGGCATGAAGGTGACAACTTTCAAGGTAGTTGCTTCTCTGTGCAGTTGAAAGTGTGCTGATGATTTAAGGGCTGGGCCTGGTTCAGTGGCAGAGCATTTGCCTAGCATGAGTGAGGCTCTGCTGAAAAGAGGGAAGAGTAAAATAGAGCTTAACTCCGAAAACTAAAACATAGGATGTGAAAGAAAACATAAAAGGACCAAGGAACCAGATTCCAAACTCTGAGTAGGGGACTTGCAGAGAGAGAACGGAAGGAAAGTAGCATGGAAATAATGCAAGGAAAGCTGGGCATAGTGGTGCATACTCAGCATCCTGTCATCCCTATGTGATTCCCTTAGGAGGCAGAGACAGCAGGATTGCCTCAAGTTCAAGGCCAGCCTGGAATACATAGTGAAACCCCGTCTCAGAAACAAAAATGAGATTTCTCAAGAGTTACATCAGAGACCAGAAGATAAAAGGACCCCTTCAAAATTCAAACTAGGACTCTCTGTGTTCCACCAAATTATTACTCAAAATATGTGTAGATAAAGCATTGTTAAGACACAAAAAGCCTCAGAAATGTGCTAGGGGTCTGTGGGTGCCAATCAGTGGCGGAGCTGTTGCTAAGCCTGAGAGAGACCCTGGGTTCCATCCACAGTAACACCAAAGAGCAAATACCAGTAATGCTTAGGCTAGGAATAAGAAAAGATGAAGTTCAGGAGTCAACAGTACAAGAGAGGAATGTTGTAGGATGCTCTCTAGAGAATGATCAGTCCAGTTTTTTTGACTGATTTTTTTTTTTTTTTGAGACTGGGTGTCACTATATAGTTCAGGCTGGCCTCAAACTTGCAGTGATCCTTATGCTTTAGCCTTCAGAGTTCTGGGATTATAGGGGTGCACTGCCACACCTGGCATGATTAGTCCAATTTGAAACAGGAAAGAGAAAGGCCCCAGGAAAGACAGAGCCAAGGAAAAGAGTTTCCAGAGATGAAATATATCCTTGAGAATCTGCAACAGTTTCAGCTTCCTGCATGGGGAATACAGGGATGGGGATGGAGCTCCGTGGCAGGCATGCAGCCCTGGCTTCCTGCCCTACGCTGCAAAACAAAATGAGATGCTATGGAAAGTAGAAGAAAACATAGGATAAGTTTTACAGCATGCTGGCATGTATAACACCCACACAGAACGATAATGCACTTTTTGCGGTAGGTTGCTGACTCAACACAGCAGACTTCTACTGACTGCCTAAGGTGGGGCTGGGGGCAGAGAGCAAAGATGAAAATAGCCAAATTGTAAATAAAGTGAGGTAGGGGCTGGGGATTTAGCTCAGCGGCGTAAGCACCTGCCTTGCAAGCAGGGCAATCGTGAGTTCAATCCCTGGTACCGATAAAAAGGAAAAAGACAAATAAATAAATAAAGTGAGGTGGGCTTCGCATGGGCCACCCACGATGATGAGAGTGTGCCCATGACTCCCTGAGCCCCTGTACTTGAACTGGAGAGCAATGTCAGAAGCAAGAGAATCGAAAGAGCTGCAGAGCAAATAGTAGCCCTGTCACCAGCAAAAGAATGACAGATGAACAGCACAATTCCATTTATTTATTTCATGTGGCTATGGGGGAGAGCAAGCCTAGGGATGCTCTACCACTGAGCCACATTCTCAGCCCTTTTATTTTGCAGTTTTGAGACAGGGTCTTGTTAGATTGCCAGGCAGGATTTGAAATTGTGATCCTCCTGCCTCAGCCTCCCTCAGTGCTAGGATCACAGGCCTTCACCGCTATGCATAGCTAACATCAGACTTACTAGTAGCATCAGATTCAAGCAACACACTTAAAACTCTGTGGGAGAATAATACCAATTTAGAGTTGTATGCTGAGCCAAATCATCAGTCAAATGTAAAAGTGAAATAAAGTTCTTTTTTGATAGTGGATATGGAATCAATGACATAAGAGAAACTATAAAAGAAATACCAGGTAAAAGGTACAAGAGAAGATGAAACAAAGAGGACAGCAAAGCAACAGAATTATCAAAGAAAACCGGGCACAATCTCCAGGATTGCAAAAATAATAATGAATAAATTTGCAAGTGGTTGTTTAAAAATTGTAAAAGTGGGGCTGGGGATTTGGCTTAGTGGCACAGGCGCCTGCCTAGGAAGCACAAGGTCATGAGTTCACTTCCCGGTACAAAAAAGCCCCCTGATTAAAAATTGTAAAAGTGCTGCCGGGCATGGTGGTAAGTGTCTGTAATCCCACCATTCAAGAGACTGAGGCAGGAGAATCACTGAGTTCTAGGCTACTCTGGGCAACAAAGAGAGTTCAAGGCCAGCCTTAAGTGCATAGTGAAACCCTGTCTCAAAAAGACAAAAAAAAAAAAGCAAAACAAAACAAAAATAATAAAAATTAGAGCTAAATTCAAGTTTATCATAGATTTCAAGAAGATATCTACAGTTGCTAAATCAAGAAATAGTTTCAGGCCGGGAGTTTAGCTCAACGGTGTAAGTGCCTGCATGGCAAACTTGAGGTCATAAGTTTGATCCCCGGTACCAAAAAAAAAAAGTTTCTAAATCAGCATGGTGATGCATGACTGCAATCTGAGCACTGGAGAGGCTGAGGCAGGAGGATCACCATAGATTTGAGGCTAGCCTGAGATACATAGAAGTTCACAACCAGCTCAAACTGCAGAGTAAGACCCTGTTTCAAAAAAGAAAGCCAGACATGGTGGCTCACGCCTGTAGTCCCAGCACTCCAGGAGGCTAAGGCAGGAGAATTGTGAATTTGAGACCGGCCTGGGCTACAAATGGGCTCAAGGTGAGCCCGGAGTACATAACGAGACCCTTTCTCAAAGAACCACAAGAAGAAGGAAAGAAAAAAAGGAAGAAAGACTCTGGCTGGGTATGGTGGTGTACACTTTTAATCCCAGCATTCTAGGAAGCCAAGGCTTGAGAATCACAAGTCAATCCAATTAGGGTAACTCAGAAACCTAGGGAGATCCTGTCTTGTTAAAAAATTTAAAAGGGCTGGAGATTGTAGGTCAGTGTAAAAGCCCTGGGTTCAGTCTCCAGTACTGAGGGGGAAAAAGAAAGAAAAAAATTGTGGTGCCCCCTGTTTGGCTAAACAAGAGCTTTCTTTGCTGTTGCTGAGCAGGCAGTTAGTGCTTGAGCAAGAGCTAGGAAGGAGGAAATGAATGGGTACAAAGCACCTGCTGAATGGGCAGGCAGGTTCCCTGGAGTGCGAGCCGACTCCATCCACTGCACAGTAATGCTAAGTACCCTCCTTTACTTGATGGCCTCCCAGCAAGGAATGCTGCTTCAAAGACGTAGGATTCTTTTTTTTTTTTTAAATCTGGGCACACAGTTGATTCCATCCAAGTTGGGTTGTGTTTACCAGAAAAGTGAGACTAATCCTGAGGCTGAGGCAGGAAAACCTCTTGAGCCCAGGTGTATAAGGCCAATTTGACTATCATAGTGAGACCTTATCTCAAAAAAGAAAGAAAAGTAAAAAGAGGAAAATGCTTATTCAGTAGACAAATTACTTTCTCTGCTGTAGATGGTATAAACATTGAGTACAGAAGTAATTTTGAGACAGAATAAACAAAACATACACAGGTGTAGTGTGGATTGCTCTGGCAAGTAAGCTGGGTGAGGCAGAGCTGGGTGTTTAGCAACCCTGTTCTTTAACAAGATTCTAGGGATGGGTTAGCTCTCACTCTCCTTGGAGCTTTAGTTCTGTTTATCTTCTTGCCCCTGAACAGGGAGATCGGAAAGCACTATGTTTTGGAGACCAGAAATTTAACCTCCATGAGATGGGAAAGGAATTTGAACCCAAAGCCATTCACCCCTTGCCTGGATCCCTGGACATTTGTCTGATCACAGAGGCGCCTCTGGAGGAGATGATCCAGCGCCTCAAGGTGCTCGGGTTGCTGCTTGCTTTGTTTCTCTGTTGTTCTGTGGAGTATTTTGTTTTGTTGGTGATAGGGATGGAGCCAGAGCTTCACACTTGCTGTGCCACTGAACTCTAGCCACAACCCTGGACTCTGTTCTTCTTGAGAAAATTGCTACAGACACCATGAAAAACACAGCATGGCCCAAGAAGAGTTCCCTCTAGCCTTTTTTTTTTTTTTTTTTTTTTTTTGTACCAGAGATCGAACTTAAGGTCTTGCGCTTGCCAGGCAGGTGTTTATGCCACTGAGCTAAATCCCTGGCCCTCCTTCAATCTGAACACATGATTTCCTCACATCCTCATACTTGTGCACAATTATCTACTCATAGATGTGGCGGTGCCAACACACCTGTAATCCCAGCACTCAGGTGGCTGAGGCAGGAGGATTGCTGTGAGTTTAAGAGCAGCCTGGGCTACAAAGTGAGTTCAAGGTCAGCAGAAACTATAGAGTGAGAACCTGGGTCAAAAAAGCCAGGGATATAGCTCAGTGGCACAGACACTTGCATAGTAATCACGAGGTCCTGAGTTCAATTCACAGTACAAAAAAAAAAAAAAAGCAACCAATAGGTACAAGGCTGAAGTGTGGCTCAGTGCTGAAACAGCCGCCTAACCCTCAGAAAGCCCTGGGTTCCATTCCTGGCATCATACACATGGACACATGCCAGTAGAATATATAGGCTTTAGGCCAGAGTGCCCAGTTTTCAAGTCTGGTCCTATGATTTACTGGACAGTACTAGATACTATTCTTATGCCCACTTTACAGAGCAAGAGGCTGAGGTGCAGGACTGTCTGCTTGTGGGCAAAAAAGGAAGAAAGAATGCCAGATGAGGTTGAAAAGATAAAGGCAGTTTGGGGGATTCTAAACCGCTGCTAAGAATTGTATTTTAGTCTCACACGTAGGCTATGACAACTGACTTGTTTTCTTCTCCCACCTCAGGCTTTTGATGTCCCCATTGAGGAGGGCCCAGTCCCCAGAACAGGGGCAAAGGGGCCAATTATGTCCATTTACTTCCGAGACCCAGACAGAAACTTGATTGAAGTGTCCAACTACATCTCCTGATCACCACCACCCTTCATCTGTTTCCCCTCGTGCAGGTTTGAGACTAAACCTATTGTCTGAGGGCATCATCCAAGCCACACAATAAATGAACTGTGTCCCTGAATGCATTTACTGTCCTTCCCGTCTCGGTTGCTTTCTGGGGTTTTGTCCAGGGTCTGAGTTGTCTGTGCTCTTTAAAAAAGTCCAGAGCTGGGAGTGTTGGTGCACAAGAGGCTGAGGTTATGAATTTGAGGCCAGCCTAGGTTACATAGTGAGTTCAAGGCCAACTACACTGCATCGTGAGACTCCGGCTCAAGAAAAAGTTTGAGCCCAGCCTGGGCAATTTCGGGAAATTTTGTCTCAAAAAAGTAAAAAAATGGGCTGGGGCTATAATTCAGTGCAAAGGCCCTGGGTTCAATCCTGGAAATAAACAACAAAGTGTCCATGACCAGGATATTACCTCTTTTTAAAGACAGGCTCTTGCTATGCAACTCAGGCTGGTCTTGAACTCACTATGTAACTCAGGCTGGCCTTGAACTCTCAGTGATCCTCCTGCCTCAGCCTCCTGAGTGCTGGAACTACAGGCATGCACCAACATGCTTGGCTAGGATGTTACATTTTTTTGGGAACCAAATTCAGGTTGTCTCTTTGAGATTCAAGACCTCTAATAGATTTCTCTTTGTTGGTGTGATCTTTCTTTCTTCTCTCTCTCTCTCTCTCTGTCTCTCTCTCTCTCTCTCTCTCTCTCTTTCTCTGTCTCTCTCTGTCTCTCTTTCATTATCTTTGAGACAGGGTCTTGCTGTGCAGTTCAGGCTGGCCTTGAGCTCACTTTGTAGCCCAGGCTAGTCTTGAACTCACAAGCCTCCTGCCTCAGCCTCCCGAGTGCTGGGATTTCAGGCATGCACCACCACGTCCAGTTTTCACCCTTTCTCTATTTTTTTCCTTTTCACTGAGAGGGTCCCACTATGTGGTTCAGGTTGGCTTTGAACCCACTGTGTTGTCCAGGTTGGCCTCAAACTCAAGGCGATCCTCCTGCCACAGCCTCTGTAGTGCTAAGATTACAGGTGTATGCCACCTTGCCCAGGTCTTGCCTAATGTTTAAAGAAAGCTTGCCTTACACCCACAGGCTACCTGTCTGGAGGGAAACGGATGATTCACATGAAGAAGAAAGGGAAGAAGTGACAGAAGGAGGAAGGAAGGAGCGGGTAGGCAGATAGATGAATGGATGGAAAAGTAGACACCCCCTGGAAAAACCCTTTGTGCATAGGAGGAAGTGGTTTGTAAGTGTGTAGGTTTACTGTAATGGGGGAAAACTGGAAATAACATGTCCATCAGCAAACAAGTAGTGTGTCAGGTTTTTGTCACTGATCAATGTCTGAGATAAATAAGCTTCTAAGGAGGAAAAGTTTACATTTGCTCATGGCTTCAGAGGTTTCAGTCCATGGTTGCTTGGCCCTGTGGCAAGAAGAAAAGAGAAGGAGGAAGGGCATGAGTCCCACATGCCTTTCAAGGATATGCCCCCAGTGATCCACTTCTGCCCCTGGGCCCCAGCTCCTAAAGCTTCCCACTGCCCAGTAGCACCAGAGGCTGGTGACCAAGACTTCAACACACAGAACTTAAGATCCAGATCCAAATTATAACAAATGATGAAAGAAACTAGTGTATCCATTCCATGGAATGTTGCTCAACAATAAAAAAAGTGTAAGAGACCAATATTATTCTGATAACAAACACAGAAAGAGACATAACAAGAAAACTGCAGATTAATAAATATGTTTTATAGGGGCTGGGGATTTAGCTTAGCGGCCTAAGCACCTGCTTTGCAAGCACATGGTCATGAGTTCAATCCACGTTACCAATTTTAAAAAAATGTTTTATATATATAGATGCAAAAAATCCTCATCAAATAGCAGAAATAGTGGCACATACCTTTTTTTTCTATACATTTTCTTTAGTGAAAGTGGCACATACCTTTAATCACAGAATCTGAGAGGCTGAGGCAGGAAGATTCCCAGATTTAAGGCTGCCCTGGGTTACATACTGAGTTCAACAGCAGTCTGGACTACATACATAGTGAAATCCTATCTAAAACAATCAAAAATAAATGAATAAATATGAATTAATAGCCTCAACAAAATGCAAGTAAAATCCAGCAACACATATAAAGGTTATAGACTGTGATTAAGTGCACTTTATCCTAGAAATGCAAGGTTGATTCAATACATAAAAATCTGTCAATGTACTAATCCAGGTGTAGTGGTACACATCTGTAATCCAAACACCTGGGAGGCTGAGGCAGGAGGATTGCCACAAATTCAAGGCCAGCCTAAGCTACATAGTGAATTCAGAACCAGCCTGGACTAAATAGCAAAACTCTGTCTCAAAAACAAAAACTCAGTCAATATACTATACCATATCAATAAACAAAAGGACAAATATGATCTCAGTAAATGTAGAAAAAGCATTTTATAAATCGGACACACATGTTTAAATACTGCATTGTGTCTCAGATGTGAAAAACTAAAAGTATAAATAAGGACCAAAATGTATAATAGATATTGTGAAACAAGAAGAAAATGTTCAAATGGGAAGGGGAACTAGGAAGGGGAGGAGGGGGAAAGGAAGGAAGGGACAAGAATAAAGAATGAGGGGCTGGGGATTTAGCTCAGCGGCATAAGTGCCTGCCTTGCAAGCTGGCAGTCGTGAGTTTGATCCCCGGTACCGATAAAAACGAAAAAGACAAAAAAAAAAGAATAAAGAATGGAAGAGCTGGGCGTGGTTGCTCATGCCTGTAATCCCAGCACTCGCACTTGGGATGTTGAGACAAGAGGGCCATTGTGAGTTCGAGACCAGCCTAGGCTACAAAGTGAGCTCAAGGCCAGCCTGAACTGCACAGCAAGACCCTGTCTCAAAAAGACAAAAAAAAAAAAAAAAAAAAAAAAGAATGGAAGGGAGAAAATGGAAACAAAGGTAGAAGCTGGGGAAGCAGGATCATTGAAAGTTTGAGACAAGCTTTGGTTACAAAGAGCTCAAGGCCTGCCTGAACTGGGTAGCAAGACCTTGTCTCAAAAACATGGGGAAAAAAAGCAGAAAAGAAAAAAGAAAATGGAAACAAAGGTTTTGTAAATAAGGAGGGGAAAGAAGGTTGAAAGGAGGGTAAAGGATTGGGAAAAAAGAATCAACATATGTTACGTACAGGTACAAATTCCCCATGATGGGTGTGATCATTATGTATATCTAAAATGTACCAATAAGAAATAACGTAAATGTAAAAAATGTGTTCTATTTCTTAAGATGAATGCTACCATTATGTATATCTAAGATGCACTAATAATTAAAAAATACATTTGACAGAATTCAACACACTTTCTTCATAAAAATTCACAACAAACTAGAAATAGAACAGTATTACAAAAACCACAATGCCAGGTGTGGTGTGCCCACCTGTGGTCCAGGTATTCATGAGCCTGGGGCAGGAGGGTCTCGAGTTCGAGTCCAGCCTAGATTACATAAGAAGACCCTATCTCAAAATTTGAAGAGGGGTAAGGGATAGCTGAGTGGTTGAGCACCCCTGGGTACAATCCCCCCAGGTGCTGTAAATTCTCAAACCAAATCTCCATAGCTAACATCATATTTTATGAAAGACTGAAAGCTTCCTCTGAAGATGAGAACAACATGAGAAGGTCTCCAATCACCACTTCTATTCAACATTCTAGCACACGTAATTAAATAAGAGAAATAAACCAGGTGTGATGCACACCTATAATCCCAATACTCAGTAGGCTACACAGTAGAATCTCCATGAGTTCAAGGACATCCTGGGTTACACAGGGAGTTCAAGGCCAGCCTGGATAACATAGTAAGACCTTGTCTCAAAATATTTAGAAAGCTGGGCATGGTGATACACATCTGTAATTTCAGCACTCAGGAGGCTGAGGCAGAAAGACTGATGTGAATTCAAGACCAGCCTGAACTACATGGTGAGATCCTGACTCTAAATAAATAAATATATTTTTAAAAAAATGATACAATTGCACAAGAAATAGCATCCAGAATCAACAAATGGGATTATATCAAATTTTAAATCTTCTCCATAGCAAAGGAAACAACCAGCAGACTGAAGAGACAAGTAACAGAATGGGAAAAGAGTTTTACCAGCTGCTCCTCGGACAAAGGACTAATATGTAGAATATATAAAAACTCAAAAATTAGACCCCCCTATAAAAAAAAAACAGTCAAAAAGTGGGCAATTGAATGAATAGACTCTTCTGAAAAAAAGAACTACAAATGACCAGTAAGTACATGAAAAAATGTTCAACATTGCTGGCCATAAGAGAAATGCAAATTAAAACACTGAGGTCCCATCTCACTCCAGAAATAATGGCTATCATCAAGAAATCAACCAAGACAAAAGCCATGCTGGGCCCGGGAGGAGTAACAAGAAGTCAATTCAGGTACAAAAACAACTTAATGCCTGTATTGCTTGATTGACTTTGCAGGCCCAAGACTAGTAGTCTGAACATCTATTAAGGGGATAAAAATATGCAGTGTAGCAACTATGGGGAATGTCCTTCTGTTTTGTTTTAAACCCAATATTTTGTTTTCTTCTGTTTTATTGTTTTGTTTTATTCAGTGTTCTGTTTTGATTGGTTTTATTCTGTTCTCTTTTGATTTGATTATATCTGATGGTATGAGCAGCAATTTTAAAGATAACAAGAGGCATTATGATACCACTGCTGATTTCCTATTATCCTGTCTTGAAATCCTGTGTAACTTTCACTGTTTTTTTCTTTTTTTTGATTGGCATTATTCTGTTTCATTTTGTTTGGTTTTATTCTCTTTAAAATACACTTTAATTCTTTTGACTGTTTTTGTTATGTTTGATTTTATTATGTCTGATGGTGTGGACAGCTGTTTTAAAGAAAACAAGGGACATTATGGTAGCCATTGTTGATTCCTTATTATCTTGTTTTGAAGGCCTGAATTGCTTTTTTGTTCTGTTCTGATTAGCTTTATTCTGTTTTGGTTTGGTTTGGATTTATTCTCTTTAAAATTAGAAAAAAAGGAGCTAGGGATAGAGCTCAGTGGCATAAGTGCCTGCCTGACAAGCGCAAAGTCATGAGTTCAATTCCTGGTACCTGAATAAATAAATAAATTTTTTTTAAAAAAAATTAGCAAATAGGGCCGGGGATTTGGCTCAGTGGCATAAGCGCCTGCCTGGCAAGTGTGAGGTTGTGAGTTCGATCCCCAGTACCACCAAAAAAAAAAAAAAATTAGCAAATAACAAATCCTGGTGGGGCTGTGGTGAAAAAGGAACCCTTCTCCACTGTTGGTGGGAGTGCAAACTGGTGCAACCACTGTGGAAATCAGTGTGGCAGTTCCTCAAAAAACAAAAACTAGCTGGGCATGGTGGTGCACACCTGTAATCCCAGAATTTGGGAGACTGAGACAAGAGGATTCTTGTGAGTTCAAGGCCAGCCTGTGCTACATAAGCAAGTTCAAGGCCAGTCTGCACTATATAGTGAGAACTTGTCTCAGAACAAACAAACAAAAAAACTAATAAATACAGACATACATACATATATAAAATGAGTAGAATCTGATACTACAGTATATAAGTTTAGCAAGTTTGCAAGAGGCAAGAGTTTTTGATAAGAGGTCGCACAAAATTTGGCTGGGTACAGTAGCACACACCTGCAATCCCAGCTACTCGGGAGGCTGAAGCAGATGGACTGCAGCTTTGAGACCAAGTCTGGGCAACTTAGCCAGACCCTGTCTCAAAATAAATTTATTTATTTATTTATTTACTCACTTACTTACTAATTTTTTGAGACAGGGTCTCACTATGTAGTTCAGATCAGCTTTGAACTTGCTTATGTAGCCCAGGCTAGCCTTGAACTCAAGGTGATCCTCCTGCCCCAGCCTCCCAAATGCTGAGATTACAGGAATGCACCACCATGCCTGGTTCAAAATAAAAAAATTTTTACAAGGAGTGATGGTGATAGCTATAGTGTCAAGAACACTGGGCACCCCAGGTAAGCACATGGAGGCAGAGGGGTTTCGTGTGACATTCAACCTCCCAAGTGTATAAATAAACACGCTTCAGCCATTGGAGCCCTTCCTCCTTTTCCTTCCCTACTTTTCATCAGGAGAGCTGCATCTGACTTTAGTTTTCTCTAAACCAAAAAAAAAAAAAATGGAGTGCTGATGTAGCTCAGTGGCAGACTGCTTGTTTAGGAAGTATGAGGTCTTAGGCTTAATCCCCCAGTGCTGGAAAAAATATTAAAATCAGGATAGCTAGAAGTATAGCTCAGTATGTAGTACTTGTCTAGCATGTGTAAAACCTGTACAATGCCTATTACAGAAAAAATTCAAAGTTTAATTATATACTGATAAGTGCGAGGTCATGAGTTCAATCCCTGGTACCAAAAAAAAAAAAAAATCCAAAAAATTTAATCATATACAATGTCGTGGTTTATGTTTGTGTCCCCCAGGCCTCATGAGTTTGCATTGTTCATTTGTGATGGTTCATTGTATAGTGCTTGGATTGATGGTGTCAGTGCTCCACCCACATAGGAGTGGAGCCAGGGTGCGATGTAATGGCAGGAAGAAGGTGTGTGTTTCTCTTTGCTGGTTTGAGCTTGCTGTTAGCATCTGCCATGAATGGCGGTTCAGCCATGCCCGCCTGTCTTGGAGCCAACTGAGTGTGGACTGAAACCTCCAAAAACTGTAAGAAATAAACCTTTCCTTTCCCAACTTGGGCATCAGGTATTTTGTCTCAGCAACGAGCATAAAGTAACTAAGACATACATATAATAAAATGAAGCCAGGCAAGGTGGTATACACCTATAATATTAGTACTCTGGGAGGCTGAAACAGGGAGGGATACAAGTTCAAGGCTGGCCTGAGCAATATAGCAACACATCAAGTATTTATCTCAAAAATTTTAAAGGGGGAGGGCTGGGAATTCTGCTCAGTGGCACGAGTGCCTGCCTGGAAAGTGTGAGGGCATGACTTCAATCTTTGGTACCAAAAAGAAAAAAAGAAAAAAGAATAAAAGTCATAAGGAAGACCAGCGACATAGTTCAGTGGCACAATGCCTGCCTGACAAGTGCAAGGTCCTGAGTTTGATTCCTGGTACCAAAAAAAGTGGAGCGGGGGAGGATGTAGGTCAATGTGAAGGCTTTAGGTTCAATTCCAAGTACAAGAAAAAATATTTTAAACATCTAAACATGAAATAAACTCAGGTATGGTGGTGCACACCTGTAATCAGCATTCAGGAGGCTGAAGGAGGAGAATTGCTTTGAGTTCAAGACCAGCCTGGGCTACAACATGAATTCAAGGCTAACTTGAACTGCATAATGAAACCTTGTCTCAAAAACATTAATTAAGTTAATTTTTAGAAAGTATACCAAGAATTTCATGCTGGGTGTGGTGATGCCTGCCTATAATCCCAGCACTAGGTAGGGGGGGGATTGACATAAATTCGAGGCCAGTTTGGGCTACATAAAGCGTTCAAGGCCAGCCTAAACTATATAGTATGACCCTGTCTCAAAAAGCAAACAAAAGCAAAGTATAAGAAGAGTTTCATAAATTCTTTGCTGCCCCCCCCCCATAAGTCACTAAACACATTTACTCTTTTCTTTGTTTTTTGTTTTTGTTTTTGTTTTTTTGAGATACTCTCACTATGCAGTTCAGGCTGGTCTTGAACTCACTATGTAGCCTAGGCTGGCCTCAAATTTGTGATGATCCTCCTGTTTCAGCTTCCGAAGTGCTGGGATTCCAGGTGTGCACCACCACACCTGGTTACATTTACTCTTGTACATGAAAATGTTTTATCTAGAATATTGCCAACTTTTTCAATCTGCAATCTGCCACTTTTTTCAGACTTTTGTGCTTGAACATCTGGGGATGGAATTCAGGATCAAATGCAGTGTATGGTAGGCAAGTGCTCTACCACTGAGCTGCTCCGGCTGACTTTAACATCCTTTCTGATGTGTGACAATTGTTGAGGTATGAATTACAATGCTGCAAATTGCAACTTCTGCTGGGCATGATGGAGCATGAGGCAGACAGATGGCCGTGAGTTTAAGGCCAGCCTGGGCTACAGTGAGTTCAAGGCCAACCTGAACTATGGAGCAAGACTCTGTCTCCAAAAAGCCAATGCATGCATGCACAAATGAGTGAATGAAACTCTTATACTGGTGATAATATAGAAAATAGTCTCAGTTTATATTGTGGGTTCAACTGCTTCTTAGGCCTTAAGGGTAGTTTGGAATCCCTACTGAAAAGGTAAGTAACTTTGAGAAACACTTGAAAAGTGCCTAAAGTTAAAGTCATCACTGTTCTATATTCCTGATTTTAAAACAATGAACTTCTCTAGTTTGCTTGTCAAAGAGCAGGAAGTGTAGGTTAGTGCTCAGGGCTATTGAAGTAGAGGCCTTTAGCATCTACCATCCCTGGGTGGGCAGGCTCCAAAGAGCTTTAGGGTGTGTGATATTCTGCTGTTCTCCATTTGGTAATTTAGTGATGATCTTGGAAAAAGAAAATGAAAATGGAATCTGGCCCTGGTTCATACCTGTAGCCTCAGCAACAGTTCTCGGGGCACTTCGTGACCTAGGAGTTGGAGGGCAGTCTGGGCAGCCCAGGGAGGCCTGTTCCAAAAAAAAAAGACAGCAGTGAAATTTCTCATTTTGGGTTATCAAGAAGTGGCTTCAGGTTTCATAAGCCCTTCTAACCCAACAGAGTACTTAGAAGCCTAGGCCAACTATAATTTTTTTTTTTTTTTTTGGTACAGGGTCTTACTATGTAGTTCAAGCTGGCCTGTACTCACCTCAAACTCGAGACATTTCTCCTGCCTCAGCTTCCTGAGTGCTAAGATTACACAACTATCAATATTCTTAAACCCAAATCATTAGACAGACTTCAGTCTACATTAATATTAGTTTCTTTGTGAGAAACAGAATATCTCTTGCTGATCCATGAAACAAGAAACACATTTGCAGTGAAAGTTGAACAGAAATCAGGAAAACACCTGTTAGTGATATTTGGCCAGGTGGGTTTTTGTTGTTATTGTTGTAGGAGAGTGTGTTTTGCGTGGTATATAATTACAAACGTTAGATTTTTAGAGCCTTTCAAACCAAAGTTGTTAATAGCCTTTTGCCAGTTAATATTCAGGGTCTCATTCAAAGTAATTACAGAGATCATCAAATGTAGGTAGAAACCTACAGATAAATAACATTCTGGGTAGGAGAAGAAAAGAGCCTTGTTCCACCTTCAGGCTTGGGTAATTCAGGCTTGACTGCGAGCCCTGGCCGAATCTCTTTGGGATTTCATATTTATTTATTTATTTAGACAGAGTCTCAATACATAGTACAGGCTGGCCTTGAACTCAAGGCGATCCTCCTGCCTCATCCTCCGGAGTGTTGGGATTACAGGCATGTGACAGCACGCCCAACTCCTTCAGTTCCTTATATTTGAGAAATAATTGTGTTTTAAAAATACACAAAACAGCCAGGTGTGGCACTCAGGAGGCTGAATCAGGAAGAGGATTGCCCTCTGTTGTATACAGTGAGACCTTGTCTCAAAAAACAAAAAAGACTAGTTAATTGCTGAACATCAGTCATATGTTGATAATTTCTCATTTAACTTTCCAGGGTGTGTGTATGCATGCCATGCTTGTATAATCAGCTCTACAAAATGAAACTTTTTTGTGGTACTGGGGATCAAACTCACAACCTCATGCTTGTCAGGCAGCCCCTTATACCACTGAGCCACATCCCCAGCCCACAAGATAAAACTTTTGAAGTTAGACTTTATCTTTTAGGGACAAGTTGCTCCTCTAAACCTCCTTAGGCCTTGGCCATAAGGGCTCCGTGTTTCTCCCCAGCCCAGAGGAATAGAGAATACGCTGAAAAGGAGGGAGAGGCCCACGTCTAGGCGAGGAGCAACTAGCCTGAACCTGTCTGTCTCTCCCACACTGTTCTTTGCTATAAAAACCCTAACACACCTGCACACAGTGAGATGAGTGAATGCACCACTCTCTTCAGGTCTCTTCAGAACTAATTTTATACAAATAAAATCATTTTACCCAAATAAATGGCCTCCTTTGACCCGGGCACTGGTGAGTGGACAAACCTGAGCGTGGTCAGTAGCACTAGGGGCAGAACCCAGGGCCTTGAGCATGCTAAGCACATTCTGTACAACTATATGTGTGTAAATACCCACAGCTCTTACGATTTTTTGTATGCATGTTTATACATTTTAATTTTTTAAAAATCAAAAATGAAGCATTGTTAGGCATGGCAGCGTACATCTGTAATCCTAACAGTCTGGGAGGCTGAAGCAAGAGAATGATACATTGGAACCCAGCTTGGGAAATTTAGTAATTTAGCAAGGCCTTGCCTCAGAATCAAAACTTCTGGACCAGGGATATATATATATATAGCTCAGAAGCATAAGTGCCTGCCTGGCAAGCGCAAGGTCCTGAGTTTGATTCCCCGAACCAAAAAATAAATAAATGATAAAAATTTTTTCAAAAGTGTTGGGGCTGGGCTGGACATGGTGGTTCATGCCTGTAATCCTAGTATTCAGGAGGCTAAGACAGAAGGATTGCTGTGAATTTGAGGATAGCTGAGCTACATAGCAAGACTCTGTTTCACAAGGAAGAAATAAAACAAAAAAGAGGGAATGCAGCTCAGCGCAAAGGCACTGTACTCAACCCTCAGTAGTGTTTTTAACAAATTAAAGTCATAGTCTACCTACTACTTATAACCAGCTTTTGTTTTTGTGGCCCTAAGGATAGAACCCAGGACCTTGATAATCAGCTATGTCCCTGACCCTTTTTAGTTTTTTATTTGAGACAGGGTCTTGCTGAAGTTGCCAAGCTGGGCTAGATCTTTTGAGTCTCTGCCTCAGCCGCCCAGAGTGCTGGAATGACAGGTGTGCACCACCACGACAATCACCAGCTGGTTTTATATCAAGTGGTTTTCCTTTGTCATTAAATAATTATACACATAAATTACATAAAATCAGCTGTTATCAACTATAGTCACCCTACCATGCTTAGAGTACTAGTTTATCTCTCCTCCCTTGTTCTATCTGGTACTCACTCATAAACCGACCTCACTCTATCCCTCCCCTCCCCTTCCAGTTTGTTCTACTCTTGTTTTTTGTTTCTGAGTACCAGGAATCGAACTCAGGACCTCATACTTGTCAGGAAGGCACTTATGCCATTGAGCTATATCCCTGGCCCTACTCTTTCCTTTATAAGATCAATATCTTAGCTTCAAGAAACAGCAAGTGGCTGGGCATGGTGGCACATGCCTGTAATCCCAGCACTCAGAGGCTGAAGCAGGAGGATTGCTGTGAGTTTGAGGTCAGCCTGAACTAATAATGAGACTTGTCTCAAAAAAAAAAAAAAAAGAAAGAAAGAAAAAAGAAATAGCAAGTATTTGAGGACATAGAAATGCTAATCATTCAGATTTGATCATTACACATTGTGTTCATGTATTATCACAATGTGCCCAGTAAGTACACACAATTATTACATCTCAAAAATAATAATTTTTTTTCGGAAAATCTCAAAACCAAAAATCAACCAACAGCTAGGCTCTGAGGCCCTTGTCTAGGCATCAGCTGATGTTTTGGTGGTATTCTACCAAGGCCAGTCGGGCTCTGCCCTCTTCTCCACCCCCTGAGGGAGCCAAAAATATTCTAATGCTTGGGTTTGGGTCAAGAACCCCAGAGGATGCCAGGAGAGAGGGCTTCCAGAAAGAGAAGACATTGGAACCAGTCATGAATAGAAGTGTGACAGAGAGGTCGAGGTGCCCGGACACCCCACCCCGCCCCTGCCCTCCCCTCGGGTCCCCAAAGCCCAGTCTGGGCCCCGCTGATTCTCTTATCTGCCCACTCCCAGCTGCCTCTCTGCTGGTTGAACTGTTGCTGCAGACTTGGCCTGTGCCTCCTCCGCCGGGATGGGGGAGGGAATGGAGCAAGGCCTGGCCTCAGAGGCACCCCTCTCCCCACCCTTTACTTCCTTTCTGGAGCCCAAGATCCTCCCTAGAACGAAGAAATGAGGTGTAAGTCCCATGGCCAAACCTTCGTCATAGACACGCTTCTTGCCAGGCCTTTCCCAGGAAGCCCTAGTTCGAAGCTTGTGTTTCTAACAATAATGGCGGCGCTGAGATATAGCATGCACAGAGCATAGCTCTGGTGGTGTCCCAGACAGGCCCTGTGCTGAGGGGCTGCATCTGACGGGGGTGTTGGGGGAGAATCTGTGACTATATGCATTTTCCAGGTAAAGTAACTGAGGTTCCAAGAGAGGCCTGCTCAGGAATCAGGCAGCAAACGTGTGTGCGAGCTAAGACAAGAAGCTGAGGCCTTGGACAAACTGCTTTGGTTCAGGGCCACCCCATCCTCCCAGTCTGGAAGGTGAGGGTGACCAGACCCATCTACAGCACAGACATCTGGGGAGATGGGGATGGGACTGCACAGAAAGCTCTCAGTACTGTGCCTGTGGTCTCTAAGTAGATAAAGAGGCTCCTGTTACTACATTCGTACTAGTAAAAGCATTAATATCCCAATTACTATTACTATTACTGTTGTTATTAGGGTTAGCGTGGATAATAGTTTTAGGACTAGGGTGTGTAGCTCAGCAGAGGAGCATTTGGCGAACATGCACAAAGCCCTGGGTTCCATCTCTAGCACCACACATGAAATAAACCAATAATAATAATTTTAGAATGTGGTAAGTACAGTATTAGTGCTAGATTAGAATTTGTATTAGATTAGTATTACTATTAAGTGATAAAAGAAAGAAAAATGGAAACAGCTTTTGTAAATGGGAAGGAGAGGAGGGATTGAAGAGAGGGGAAAAGAATGGGTGAAAAAAGAATCAAGTTATGTCACGTACTGGAACAAATTCTCTACAATGAATGTGATTATTATATCTAAAATGTACCTATGAAATCTGATTTTAAACAGATTTTTTTTGGTATCGGGAATCAAACTCATGACCATGAACTTGCAAGACAGCTGCTTATACCGCTGAGCTAAATCCCGGACCCTTAGTATTATTAAAGTTAGTATTAATGCTAGTACCAATAGTAGCATTTCCATTGGTGTCAGGATTGCATTAAGGATCAAATTCATGATCTTATGTTTTCCAGGCAGGTGCTTGTGCTGCTGAACTAAATCCCCAATCCCCTTGAGCTCACTTTTAGCCCAGGCTGGCCTTGAACTCACAGTGGTCTTCCTGGCTCAGCCTCTTAAATGCTAGGATGACAGGCCTGCACTACCATACCTGGCTGCATGAGTACTAGAATTGATAGTAGTGTTCTTTAGAAAGGGCCCAGTGCTATCCCTTGCATATAACAGGTACTCACTAAATCAACAAGAATGTTTAACACTTACTAAGGTTGCAGATTCACGTAGTTGCCACTTAGCATAGATTCAAATGACTGTAGTCTCCCTAGTCAACTTATGGGTCCTTCACATTTTGTTTTTGTGTTTGTTTGAGATAGGGTCTCACTATATACTTCAGGCTGGCCTTGAACTCACTATGTAGCGCAGGCTGACCTTGAACTCATGGAAATCCTCCTGCCTTGGCCTCTTGAGTGTTTATAGGCATGTGCCACCATGCCGATGGGCCTGCACCTGATTGCCCTATCTTCTGGCCGAAGAAGGGGACATAAATCATCTGGGTCCCTCACAGGATGAAAGCATCCCCTTGGGTCCTTGATTTTCTCCTTCCTGACAAGACTCAGCACAGGGTGTAGCATACCACAGATTGACCAGTGAACCCAACGCTAAGCCTGGCCTTGCCCTCTCCCCCAAAACCTCCAATCATGCGTCTGAGGACCCAGAGGCCAAGAAGTGAGAACGGTCATCTCCCTCTGCCGTGGGTGGCTGGGCAGAACCCGCTGATCGTGGGCTCCATCTTTGCCTCTGTCCTCTGCAGCCTCAGTCTCCCTCCCTTGGTAGAGCTCCTCACCCCAAGGAATTCCAGGGCCATCACTGGGGATCCTTGTCCCTACCCTCTGGGGACCCATGTCAGACACCTACCACATTCACGTGTGTGTCAGGTGGCACTGGTTGGAGAAAGTGCACAGAACAGGTCTGTGTCAGTGTGGCTGTGGCTGTTAATATTCAGGACAGGGACCAGGCTAAGACACCACTGTACAGATCCACGTCTGTCCACACCCTGTGCCACCTGCCCCACTGCCACATGGGGCTCAGACCCCAGCTGGACCTCTGTCTTGATGCCCTCTCTATGACATTACCTCTGTCTTCTTTCTCTACCCGTGCCCTTGCCTCTGTCATTTTCTGGTTTTCTCTTTCACCCTCTATCCATTTGTCTGTCTCTCATTCTCTCTGCTTTCCTATCTGTCTTTAGTGGTCCCCAACTCCTCTGTGTGTCCCTCCTTCTGCGCACTGTCTCTGCCCCCTCTGTCTCATTTCCATCTCTGTTTATCTCTGTTCCTCTCTGTCTCGGTCTCTTCCTCTCCATCCTTTCCCTTCCCCACCCCGTCCCATCCCTATCCCTTTCCCCCAGAACTCACAGGAGAACCAACCCTGGGCGTCACCTCAGTTTCCCGCCTCCAAGGCAGTATGGCGGGCAACAAGTCCACTGTCCCTGGGTGCCCCCCACCTCCACCCCCAAGACAGCCTGTTACTGCGGTGCCAACAGCCACAGTGGCCTCCATCTGATAAGACTTATCTGCTGGCTCAGGGTAGGCCAGAGCTGGCGTAAGCCCCAGCACAGAGGAGGCAGCCAGTGAGCAGAGGGCCTGGCCGGAGTCGGAGCCTGAGCCTGAGGTCTAACCCTCACTGCCTCCCTCCAGCCCTGGAAGAGCCCCACAGCTGGGTCAGCAAGGTATTCTATGGGCTCTAGTTCAAATCTGTCCACACTTCTGAGTCTTATTCTTCTCATCTGCAAAATGGGTATGGCCGTATTCCTCCTTTCCTGCAGCCAGGAAGGCTCCCATACATAAGGGTCCAGCCCACATTTGACTGAAATACAGTTGGGGCCTCCCTCTCTGTGAAGCCCAATGGAGTCGTGAAATCATATCTGCTGGTTTCAATTATCTTGGTTTCAGCCCATGTCGCTTAGTTGGACGCTGAGGTCCACAAGAGACCAAGTCAAGTAGGGTCTGATGTGAAAACCCACTGAGCGGGAAGGTAGGGTAGGTGAGGTCCCCAGTGCCCAGGAGGTGCCCCATGAGCAGGGAGCACACCCCCTCCCCTGACCTGCCCCACCCACTGAGGCACCAGCCACTCCCTGGAGAGGAGGGAGGAGGGAGAAGAGGGCGGGCAAGAGGGAGGGAGCCTCAAAGGCTGAGGCCAGCCGGGACACCCTTTGGGATCACACTGAACTCTCCACATCCCCAAGGTGGCCGAACCCTCTGCACCAACCCACCCAGGTCAGTCTCAGCCCCCCAGAAGTCCCCAGCAGGGCAAACCTTGGCCTGTGCCTGAACCTCACAGCTGCTCTGCAAGCCTGCTCTGGGCTCCCCTAACCCACTGCTTAAGTGTTGGCCACCCCTGAATCCCACCTCAACGCCTCAGACCCACTTGTCTCTCCGGTTCTACCGCAAAGCCCACCTCCTTCTGTCCTGACATCCACCTACTCCTACCAAGATACCTACGTCCCCCTGCTCTTTTAATTTTCTCCTCCTACCTTCCCATCTGCCTCCCCAAAACACCAGCTCTGGCCCCCAAAACATGCCCTCACCTCTAAAAATCCTATCTCACTCAAATTTGTTTCTGTTTTCCCAAGATTTTACTTCTGCTCCTCCAAGAATATTTCTGCTCCCAGACCCCTCATCTGCTCCACACTACCCTTGTGCCGGCCCCAAGTTCTCTCTCAGCCACCAAACCTGTCTCTGACCTGCTAAACCCTAAAGTTTATGCCCATCTGCCTCTCAAACCCTATATTTATTCCCTAAACCGTTTCTCTCTCCCAACTCCTCACCTGCTTGCCAGTATGTCTTTGTTTCTCCAAACACTAAGTCTGCTGCTCCCCCAAAATCTCTTCTGCTGCACAAGCCCTGCTGTCTGTCTTCCCCAAGCCCCAGCCGAGCCTTAAAACATATCTCTGCCCCCAAATCCTTCTGGTACCAAACTTTCTTACCCTGATTCTACCTTGCCTTTGCTTCTCAAATCCTTCTTGTGTACCCAAGACCCAACTCTAATTAGCTAGATTTTGGCCTGCCTGAGCTGCTGATTCCTCAACTCCGTGTCTGCTCTAAAAAATGCCGTGCACCCCTCCTTGCGTTTTCCTATGGCTCTCAGGATTCATGTCTAACCCCCAACTACATTTCTGTCAGCTTTTGCTCAGCCACAAACTACACTTCTGATTCCCCAACCTCCTCTCTCTTTTTCCCAACCTATTTCTGAAGCCAAAGTGTGTCTCTGAACTCCTATGCTTGCCCCCGCTCCTCAAAACCTGTTTGCTTCTCCCAAACTTTGTGGCTACACCCCAAAGCTTTCTCTCCTTCCTCAGCCGCATAGCTGACCTTCAGATGCCACCTCTAAGCCCCAAGCTCCATTTCTGCCCCCAGTCCCTCAGACTGCTCCTTTCGGTCCTATGAGACCCTCCCTTGAGGGATGGGCTAGGATGTTACCTGGGCTGAGGGGCTGGGCTGAGGGAAAGTTGAGGGCGCCAGGCTGCTGCCTGCCACCTCCGCAGCTGGGCAGGCAGCGCTTACTCTAGTGGGGCAGCTGATAAGAAGCTTTCATATCCCCCAGCCTCAGAGATAAACTTTATCTCTGTCCAGAGAGTGATAACTGGGGGTAGGGCTGGGCCACTGCCAGAGGGGTGGGCAGCCCCAGACCCACCAAAGTTTGGGGGGGCAGTGAGGCTAGAAGATTATGGTGGGCAAGGATGAGGGGATGACACCATAGTAATGATGGAGAGAGGAAGAGCAAGAGACATATAGTGAGACAGGGAAAGAGAACAGTGCTGGAGAGGAACCCAGACACACAGCAGAGAAAAAGAGAAAGCGCCGAAAGGGTTGGGTGTAGTGACCCATGCCTATAATCCCAGCCTCCTGAGAGGCTGAAGCAGGAAGATTGCAATTTAGCAAGGCCCTGCCTTATGAACATCTACTGTTTTCCCTTCTGGTTCTTCTGTCTTTCTGTAGCCCTCCATCTCTGAGTTTCCCCTGCATACATTTAGGTCCCTCCTGCTTTCCCCCTCTCCACTCATCTTTCAGTAGTTTAGTGTGAGGGCCCTGGGCTCAGTCCCAAGACACAGCAAGCAGAATTGTGGAGAGACAGCGACAAAAGATTCAAGATAGAGAAGAAAGTGATGGGAGATGAGGTGGAGGCCTGAAAGATAGAAAAGCAAGCTTTGTTCAAGGACAGACAGAGGGAATCCTGGGGTCAGCAGGGAGGTGGTCGGTCAAAGGCTGCCATTTCCAGCACAGCTACAGTCTGGGTCTACACATAGGGACAGTTTGAGGATGGCCTTCTACTCCATCTGCACACCACCCTGAGACAGAAATGGAGCAGGCAGGCCCAGGGCAAGTTTCGGACGCTTCATTCTCGGCCCAGGCAGTACATAGCCAGGTCTGCTCAGGGTCGTGGGAAGAATGAGAGGTGTGCAGGCAGGGTTGCAGGGCTCGAAGGGAAAAGTAGGGGGGATGCAATGGGAGGGCACATCAAAAGCAATGGCCAGAGAAAGATGTGTGAAGAGGGAGAAAGCAAGAGGGATCTAAATGTGCACAGGTAGAGCTTACAGAGGGAGAGGAAGGGGAGTCAAGGGGAGACACAGAAGGACAGAAAACTGGAGGGGAAACAGTAGACGTTCATAAAAACAAAGATGCAAAGGGCATAGGAAGATGGGGAGAAACAGGCAGGAAAAAGACCCAGGGAGACAGAGAGAGAGACAGAGAGAGACAGAGAGAGAGAGAGAGAGAGAGAGAGAGAGAGACCGAGGCCATCTCCCAGGTCTTAGTTCAGCCCCTATCACCACCTCCAATAGAGCAGACGGGGAAACTGAGGCCTGAGACTGATGAGACCAGGAGTCTTGGGAAACCAGAACTGTGGCAAGCCACCCAAGAACAGAGGGACCGCCTCCCACCCGTCACCCTCCTCAGAGGAAGCCAGTGGCCTTGGGGTGATTTCAAAAGTTGGGCGGGGATGGCAGAGATAAGCAGTGTTGAGGGGTGCAGGGAGGAACTAAGGGGGCCTACGTCTGCAGACCCAGGGAGGGAGAGGAGTGAAGCCGGAAACCATGGGGTTTCTGAGAAAGTCAGAGGGCAAGATGCAACAGATAGATGCGGAGTCCGGGAGCACAGAGGGCAGAGCCCAGGACTGGGAGGAGGGACCCAGGGCTTCAGGGAGCCCGGGCGTGCCGCGCATCCAGTCCCCACACAGACCCTTCTGGAGGAGGCAGAGGGCAAGGGGGGGACTCAGAAGAGGAAGTCGAGGAGGGGAGGAAGAGAGGGAGAGGAGGAGGAAAAGGAAAGGATGAGTAAAACGAAGAGGAAAAGCAGGAGGGGAAGAAGAAAGAAGGAAGAGGAGTGGAAGGGAAGCTGCGGAAAAGGGAAAAGGGACACAGTGAACTGGGAGACACAGCCAGAGAGAGAAGGAAGGGAGAGAGGAAGGGAAGAGGAGGGAGGAGGCAAAGAAGATGAGGTCGCAGAGAGGAGAAGAGAATGAAGAGTGGAGAAGGAGTTGGGAGGAAGGAAGATGGGAGAAAGGGGGAGAGAAAAGAAGAGAGAGGAGAAGGCATGGGGAGGAGGAAGAAAGGGAAAGGAGGACGAGGAGCGGAGAGCAGAGAGCGGAGCGAGCGGGGAAGAGCAGAGTGGTGAAGACGAGAGGGAGGGAGGAAGGGCAGGCAGTGAGAGAACCTGGAATAGGAGCTGCAGGTGTGAGAAGGGAGGAAGAAAAGGAGGGACAGGGAGACTGAGGGGCTCCCCGGAGGAGGGCAGAGGGACAGGAGGAAAGGGCAGGGGAGGAGGGCGTGTGTGTCTCAGGATCCTGCCTGTCCTCACAGGTTAACCCCCAGAGGCCCCATGGAGTTCTCTGGCCTGGGGACCCTGGGCACCTCAGAACCCCTACCCCAGTTTGTGGATCCTGCCCTGGTGTCCTCGACACCAGAGTCGGGGATCTTCTTTCCCTCTGGGCCTGAGAGCTTGGATGCAGCAGCCTCCTCCACGGCCCCCAGTACAGCCACTGCCGCAGCTGCCACGCTGGCCTACTACAGGGATGCTGAGGCCTACAGACACTCCCCAGGTAACTTTGCAGGCTGCATGCTGTTGGGGCCATGGAGCTCCTCAGCCAGGTTGAAATCGCACTAAGTGGTCATCTTGGAAGTGGGTGGAAGCTTCTCACACAGATGTGCTGACACCTTTCTCTAGTTATGTCCATACCTGGAAGCCAGACATGGTACATACCTGTACTCTCAGCACTCTGGGAGGCTGAGGCAGGAGGATTTCAAGTTCAAGTCCAGCTATGCAACTTAGCAAGACCCTATCTAAAAAAGCAAAAATTTTTAAAAAGCCCATTAGCCCATTCAGTTGGAAGCTCCGGACTGAGGAGTTGCCCATGGGCCAGCAGTTGTTTTGGCAACTTTTGGAAAGGCAGGAAATCTGGCCACGGTGTTGAGGCTCTTGGGCACCACTGCACCCTAAAAATGGAGTGATCTCAGACTGACCTCTCCTCTTCTTTCCCCCTTCCTTCCTTTTCCTGCCCCCAACAGTCTTTCAGGTATACCCGCTGCTCAACTGTGTGGAGGGGATCCCAGGGGGCTCACCCTATGCTGGCTGGACCTACAGCAAGACAGGGCTCTATCCTGCCACAACCGTGTGCCCCAGCCGTGAGGACTCCCCTCCCCAGGCCCCAGAAGACCCGGATGGCAAGAGCAGCACCAGCTTCCTGGAGACCCTGAAGACTGAGCGCCTGAGTCCAGACCTCCTCACCCTGGGGCCTGCACTGCCTTCATCACTCTCGGTCTCCAGCAGTGCTTATGGGAGCCCCGACTTTTCCAATCCCTTCTTTTCTCCCACGGGGAGCCCCCTCAATTCAACAGCCTATTCCTCCCCCAAGCTTCGTGGGAGCCTGCCCCTGCCCCCCTGTGGTGAGTGTCTTGAAAAGGAACAGGGAGATAAGGGGGGAGGGGCAAAATTAAACTGAGATGGGCTCCTTTTCCCCCCCACTCTTCACCTCTTCAGAGGCCAGGGAATGTGTGAACTGCGGAGCAACAGCCACTCCACTGTGGCGGAGGGACAGGACGGGTCACTACCTGTGCAATGCCTGTGGCCTCTATCACAAGATGAATGGGCAGAACAGGCCCCTCATCCGGCCCAAGAAGCGCCTGGTAAGACCACAGGCCTGCCTCGCTGGATGGGGGCCTCATGAGGCCCCATGGCAGGGGAACCTCATCCTTAGACATACCAGAAACTGCTGCCTGCCACCCTACCTAGAAAGCCCATGAGAGTCCTCTGTGGAAGCCCTGAGCTCATCTTCCATTGCACCAGGAACTGCTGCCCCTTTCCTAGATGGGAACCCAGTTCTGAGCAGGAACTTCATTCTCAAACTACTCTTATAGGCAGCAGACAAACCCTGCCCTGGGGCCCATCCCCCATGTGCTGACTTGGTTGAACTGGGGTGCTGCTTTAGGAGTTTTATTTATTGATTGATTCTGGCAATGCAGGGGATGGAACCCAAGGATTCACACATGCTAGGCAAGTACTATACTACTAAGCAGCACCCTCAACCCTGGGACTTTTTTAAAACTCCCCATGTGATTCTGATGTGTGGCTAAATTTGAGAACCATCAATATAGTCCTCCATAGAATACAAAATAAAAACCCTCTACCCTGGACAGGAACCCATGCTTTCAACCTGACCTCCACCTCTCAGGTCCTTCTGTCAGGCACTGAGCCCTGATCTCCACTTCTACTTCCCGAGAGCCCTGATCCCACACCCTGTCATCCCCCAGATTGTCAGCAAACGGGCAGGTACTCAGTGCACCAACTGCCAGACAACGACCACCACACTGTGGCGCAGAAATGCCAGTGGAGACCCCGTGTGCAATGCCTGTGGCCTCTATTACAAGCTACACCAGGTGACCTCTGCTTTCCTGTCCTCACACCACGCTCCCGCTCCCCGCTCCCCACCTCATTTAGCCCTGTTTCTTATCTGAACCTATTGTGTTCCTCTCTTCTGTCTTTTATCTCCCTCTCACTTTCCTTCCTGCCCTTTGCTTCCCAATCACTTGTCTTAGCCGCTTCTTTCCATCTTCCTTCTCTACTCCCTCCTCTGTCTCCCATCTCTTTCCTCTTTCCCACCTCCAGTTATCCCGTAACTTTTTTTTTTTTTTTTTGTCTTTTTTATTTTTATCAGTACCGGGGATCGAACTCACGACCGCCTGCTTGCAAGGCAGGTGCTTATGCCGCTGAGCTAATCCCCCAGCCCCAACTTCTACCTTTTACCCTAGGTCGTGGGTAGCTTCTGTCATCCTGGGGGGCTTCCAACCTCCCGCCCTCACCACCTCCAATTCCTAAGAGTGGTGACTGCATCAGCCTCTGGGACACATTCACCTAGTCCTTGAACTGAGTCCCTATTTTTAGAGAAGTGGGGTGGAAAAAAAGTGGCTCTGACAGACACAAATGGCTGGAGCTGGGAACAACCATGGCATCCCTTCTGGCAGGTGAACCGACCACTGACCATGAGGAAGGACGGTATTCAGACCCGGAACCGCAAGGCATCTGGAAAAGGGAAAAAAAAGCGTGGATCAAGCCTAGGAGGGGCAGTAGCAGAAGGACAACCTAGTGGCTTCATGGTGGTGGCAGGTGGCAGTGGTAGTGGGAATTGTGGGGAGGTGGCCTCAGGTTTGACACTGGGTGCCCCAGGTACTGCCCATCTCTACCAAGGCCTAGGCCCCATGGTGCTGTCTGGGCCTGTTAGCCACCTCATGCCTTTCCCAGGCCCCCTGCTGGGCTCACCCACTGGCTCCTTCTCCACAGGCCCGGTGCCTCCCACCACCAGTACCACTGTGGTGGCACCACTCAGTTCCTGAGGGCTAGAGCATGGCCTCAGCGGACAGGGGTGCTGTCTTCGTCCTCTTATAGCCATCAGTCTGTGCAACCCAACCCTCTGGGCCCCATACACCCCCTGGCCTGGACCTTCAAAGTTTTTGTAAAATAAAATAATAATAAAACTGAAGGTGTGGGTCTGCATGTGATTGAGTAAATGGCATTGTTATGTGGGGTGTGTGGCACTGGGTAGTTCTCTCATGACAGCAGTTGGCTACAGTGTACAACCAGGATGATGCTGGGTGAGGTAGCATGCGTGACCTTTCATGACTGAAGGTTGGTACATGTGAATGTAACCGTACATGTGAGACTATGCACAGCATGCAGTGGTTCCATACATCATGGTGAGATGACATGTGACCAGTTAACTGTGGAGACGAGGCAGCATGAGATGGTATGTGTGACACCAGGTGACTTGAGGACAGCATGTCTATGCAATAGTGATAAGGAAGAAGCATGTGGGTTGTAAGGGTGCAGTTGTGCATGACTCTGGGGCCTGTGAGGAAGTATGAGTCCACTGTGCACTGGGCACAGAATATGAGCCAGAAGTACGTGTGACATTGTGAAAATGCCTCAGAACAGCAATATTCCCCTGCTGGTCTTACATGGGTGGATGTGTATGCATGGACATAATGTGTGGCATGTGCCTTGCCAAGTGCCACCAAATGGCTGACAATGTTCCTTTATGGAGGTATCAACAGGCATAGTTTTTAGGGTGAAAGTTAGGGACTTTGTTTTCCAGAGAGAAGTATCGAACTGGGATTGGTGGCTTCCAAAGTGAGAAGACCAGTGCTGGAAGTTGAGGTGGTCACTTCCCCTTACTGTCAGTTGTCTCATTGACCTCATTCAAGCTCTGAGCTCCTCAGCCTGTATCCCTGTGGAAAATAGAAGAGATTTATGGGCAAGATCAGGACACAGAATTAGGGAGTTCCACACAGTGCCACCACCCTCCCAAACAAACCTACTCACCTGAATGAACTGTTACCCTCAAAGCCAAATCTGTCTTTCAATTTAATAAGCATATGGGAACATACTCTTGAGTTGGGGACATCCAAAGGCAGACAGGTCTTAGGATCACTCAGGCCACAGAGCACAGCAAGGGGCCAGGTAAGGCAGTCTTGAGAGTTCATCTTGACCTGTCATCCACCTGCACCCCATAGCAAGTAGCACCATTTCCTAAGGGCTCACAGTGGGGTTGGATGACAGGGTTTGGCAGTTTTTAGTTCATTAATAATCTGAAAAAAAAACCCTGAGGAAAAGACACTCATACTCGAATCTGGGGAACTAGGCAGCCAGAGGTGAGTGTCTGTGCATCATCCCGAGCCCTGGGAGATTCAGATCATCACTCTGAGTGGTCAAGGAGCTGCCCAGCTTCCTGCCACACTCGACCAGCTCCAGCTCCACAGGTTTTCAGCCTGCCTATGCCACCCCCAGTAACCCTCTTTCAATCTGGGGAACTGGGCAGCCGAAGGCCCATGGGAAGCCTTGGAACAACACTTGAAACAGGGAAATATAGGAAAATGACAAAACAAAAGGCCAAAATGCAATCTCAAACCTCCAGCCCATCCCAAGAAAGCTTAGGAACTATGTACATAGAAGAAAATATATTCCATACACCTGAAATACCTGAAATAATAGCAACTGAAATAAGGAAGCAACTCTGGGAAGCTTTAAAGAAATTCAAACTAGAAATAATCTCCCAGGTAAAAGAAGAAATGATAAAAGTAACGAAAAAGATGCTGAACACATCTAAAGAAGACACAGTTTAAAAATTAGAGGAACAAAACAAAATGATAGAACCCCTGGATGAACAATATAAGAAACAAAAAGAATAGAATATTAAAAGCTGTTAGAAGAGACAGATCACCTACAAAGGAAAACCTATCAGAATCACAGTAGACTTCTCAGCACAAACAATAAAGTCAAGAAGAGCATGGAGTGAAGTATTTCAGATCCTAAAGGAAAATGATTTCCAACCTAGACTGATGTACCCTGAAAAACTGTCCTTCAAAATCGATGGAGAAATAAGATACTTCCATGACAAAGAACAGCTGAAGAACTTCATGATCACCAAGCCAACCCTGCAAAGAATACTGAAACACAGTTTAGATACACTTAGGAAAAAAAAACCACTAGGCAAGGCACATAATTAAACAGAATGGAAAGATAAACATCAGAAAGATAACATGTCACCAATAAACCAATCTATAACAATTATAACCATTAATGTAAATGGTCTCAATTCACCAATTAAAAGAAACAGACTGGCAGAATGGATCAAGAAACAACATCAAAAAACCCATCTAACCCAAAAGGAAACTTATGGACTGAAAGTCAAAGGATGGAAAACAATACTTCATGCAACAGGTACCAAAAAAAGCAGGGATAGCTATTCTGTTTGCAAACAATGTGAACTTCAACCAAGAATGATCAGAAGAGATAAAGAAGGTCATTACATACTGGTTAGGGGAAAACTTCAAGAGGAAGAGATAACTATCTTAAATATATATGCACCAAATTCCAGAGCACCCAGTTATACAAAGCAAGTATTAATAGAAATGAAAAATCAAATAAGCAATAACACAATTATAGCAGGAGACCTTAACACACCATTGACACTAAGAGACAGATCAACCAGACAGAAAATCAGCAAAGAAATAACAGAATTGAATCACACCTGTGAACAAATGGACTTGACAGACATATACAGAGGGTTCCATCCAACATCATCAGAATACACATTCTCCTCAGCAGTACATGGGTCATTCTCTAAAATAGACCATATACTAGCTCACAGAACATATTTAAATAAATGCAAAAGAGTTGAAATTATCCCATGCATGTTACCGGATCATAGCGCCATGAAACTAGAAATTAATGATAAAAGATACTACAAAAATCCCACAAACACAAGGAAATTAAATAACACACTCTTGAGCAATCAGTGGGTCACAGTGAAAACTAAAGAAGAAATTAAACAATACCTACAAGCAAACGGAAATACAAATACAACTTACCGGAATCTGTGGGATGCAATGAAAGCTATCCTCAGAGGAAAATTTATTGCACTGAGTTCCCACATCATGAAAACAAAACGAATACAAATAAATAACCTGATGCTATACCTCAAACATCTAGAAAAAAGGAGCAAGTCAAGCCCAAAGCCAAAAGAAGGGAGGAAATTATAAAAATCAGAGCAGAAATTAATGCAATAGAGACTAAGAAAACAACCCAAAGAATGAATGAATCAAAGAGTTGGTTCTTTGAAACAATAAATAAAATTGATAAGCCCCAAGACAACTTCATTTTAAAAAGTTAAGAAAAAGCTCAAGTTCATGCAATAAGGAATGAAAAAGGTGAAATCACTACAGACTCTGTAGAAATACAGAAGATCATCAACAACTACTTCAAAAACCTCTACTCTCGGGGCTGGGGATTTAGCTCAGCGGCATAAGCGCTTGCCTTGCAAGCAGGCAGTCGTGAGTGAGTTTGATCCCTGGTACCGATAAAAACGAAAAAATAAAAAAAAAAAAAAACCTCTACTCTCATAGGTTTGACAACAAAGAAGAAATGGACAGATTCCTAGAAACATATGAAGTACCAAAGCTAGGTCAAGAAGAAGTAAAATTGCTGAATAACCCAATTTCTATTAATGAAATTGAAAATGTAATTAAGTCCTTACCTACAAAGAACAGCCCAGGCCCCGATGGATTCACAGCGTAATTCTACAAGAAATACAAATAAGACTTATTGCCAACACTCCTCAAACTCTTCAATGAAATTGAAAGGGAAACAATCCTTCCTAAGTCATTCCTGGAAGCAAATATTACTCTAGTACCAAAATCTGAGAAAGACCCAACTGAAAAAGAGAGCTACAGGCCGATCTCTCTAATGAACACAGATACAAAAACGCTCAATAAAATATTGGCAAACAGGATGCAACAAATCATCAAGAAGATCATACACCATGACCAAGTAGGATTCATCCCACTCATGGTTCAACATACATAAATCAATAAATGTAATCCACCATATCAATAAAGCCAAAAATAAGAATCACATGATCATTTCTATGGATGCAGAAGAAACTTTTGATAAGATCCAACATTCATTCATGAAAGAACCTTACAGAAAATTGGCATAGATGGTCTTTACCTCAATACGATAAAGGCCATCTATGACAAACCCACAGCCAGTATCATATTAAGTGGCCAAAAACTGAAGGCCTTTACCTTAAAATCAGGCATAAGACAAGGATGTCCCTTATGATTGCTCCTATTCAACATAGTGCTGGAAATACTAGCCAGAGCAATTAGATAAAGAGAGAAATAAAAGGAGTATAGATGTGAAAAGAGGAAGCTAAATTATCATTATTTGTGGATAACATGATATTCTACATAGAAGACTCCCAAAACTCCACTGAAAGTCTAGATATAATAAATAAATTCAGCAATGTAGCTGGATACAAAATCAATACTCAAACATCAATAGCATTCCTATATACTAACAAAATCACTGAGAGAGAAATAAGAGAGGCCACACCCTTCACACTAGCACCCAAAAAAATGAAATACTTAGAAATTAATCTCACAAAGGAAGTAAAAGATCTATGCAGGGAAAATTATAATACCCTGAAAAAATAATATCTCAGAAAATGGAAAGCCATCCCTTGCTCATAGGTTGGAAGAACAAATATTGTTAACATGGCCATTCTCACAAAACTGTTATACAGATTCAATGCAATCCCAATAAAAATACCATCAACATACCTAATAGATCTAGAGAAATCACTTCTAAAATTTATCTGGAACCAGAAGAGACCTAAAATAGCAAAGACAATTCTAAGCAGTGAAGGCAAGGCAGGAGGCATCACAATCCCTGACTTTAAGTTATACTACAAAGCAACTGTAGTAAAATCAGCATGGTACTGGAATTAAAACAGAGGCAAAGACCAATGGAATAGATTAGAAAATACAACCACAACTACAAACACACTCAACTGCCTTATCTTTGATAAAGGAGCCAAACATATTCACTGGAAGAATGACAGGCTCTTCAATAAATGGTGCTGGAAAAACTGGCTCTCCATATGCCGAAAACTAAAACTAGACCTGTGCCTATCATCATGTACTAAATTAAAATCT